CATGTCTTAACATTTTAATTATCTGAAGAACATTTTTACCATAATATCTAATATAATCCACCATAATAAATCTTTTATGCAATAGAAAGGTTCCATGGATGTTGAAGGTTCTTCATAGAAACATGTTTTGCTTGGTCCGTTGTTTGTTTTTGCTTTTTGCGTTGAGAGGTTTAGCATAAAGGTTAAGAGGTCCATCTGTCAATGTTTTCCATGTTCGTACAGTTAGTTCATGTACATGTTTTTTTTTTTAAATGGCCTTTGCTGGTTTTTCACTTTCGTTATCAATCAATGTAAACTTACATCACTGCTAGTTCCTATAGTGCTTGGTTAGACCCTACTCTGAAGTAGGAGCTAATTTAGTTCCCCCAAAAGGCATTCCTGGAACTAACATAGTTCCTGTGGTGCAAACACACCAAAAAGCAGATATAATACTTCAGCCATTAGTTCTAGGAACTATGAGAAGATTCGTCCGGTGCGAAAGCCCCTATAGATGTCTGTAAAGAACCTTTATTTTTAGAGTGTAGGTCTACACATGATATATTTTTATTCAGCCAAACTGGATTTAAGGGTGCTATTTGCGTACACAAAAGTATATATGAAATGAGTTATGACAACATGTTTTTACATTGCTTTAGCAGACAGAGATATTGTGGTGCAGCAGGCAAACACTTACCTGTGTTAATTTATTTTTTCATAAAGCCAAAACCTTTTTCATTTTGTCATTTCTTCTGTCATTTAAACCTGATATTAACATCCATCTCTGTGATCTGATCACAAGTGGACAGCACTAAATACAGATGGAAAAATGTTGTGTTTCAAATTCCAATTATTCTTCTGTGCATAGCATAACTTCTTCATCCCTGACAAGTAATGTTTGTTTGGGTGAGTGTGTCTCTCTCTGTATACTTGGTTATGCATCTGATTCTGCATATATTAAATATATAGGAATGTGTTTGATTTCACTCTTCTTCTTCATTGTTTGTGTCCATGTGTTCATTCATGCACATGCTAGTACTTGTTGTAAGTATGTGTGCTGGTCTTTTCATGTGCCTGTCTGTGGTATTTATAGATCTGGACGAGTGTGTGGAGGAGTTGCACCGGTGCCAGCAGGTCTGTGAAAACACCTTGGGCTCATACAGGTGCAGTTGCAGTCCAGGGTTTCAGCTCTCTTCAGACAGGACATCCTGCTCTGGTGAGTGAATCAGTGTCTGGTGTGATGCATTACCAATGACACAACCATTTTTACAGTTAAAATGATGTATTTTGGCAATATATATTTACGCAGGTATTACTCTATACAGTACAGGATATATATATACTGTATATACCTGTGTGTGTGTATATATATTGCCAAATGACATACTTTAACTTTAAAAATGGTTGTGTTAATTTTAATTTTAATATTTCTACCTCCAGATGTAGATGAGTGCCAACATGTTGGTAGGGCTCTCTGTGCATTTGGGTGCATTAATACGCCAGGCAGTTTCCAGTGCTTGTGTCCCGAAGGGTACCGACCGGACAGCACCAACAGACATTGCATAGGTCAGACTTTTACATATCTTTAATTTATCTTAACACTGGTGGACAGAAGAAGATATGTCTTAAGAGGTCGAAAAGTCTCTTCACACTGATTTGTGATACACAGGCTTAGTACTGTAAACTAATACCAGGAAACCAGGGATAATTCACCCGAAAATGAAAAGGATGTCATCATTTACTCACCCTCAAGTTGTTCCAAACCTGTATGAATGCCTTTAATTTCAATATTCTTTAAATACAGTGGTGTGAATAAGTTTGGACACCCATGCTAAAGTTGCCTAAAAAGAGGAATAAAAAATCATCTTTTGGATATTGATCTTAATGCCTTAATTAAAAAAATGACGAAAACTCCAACCTTTAAGGACACAAATTTTCTTTGTGAATGAATAATGTATCATAAATAAATACATGTTTTTCCTTTAAATACAGGGTGCATAAGTCAGGGCACCCCTATGTTAAATTCCCATAGAGTCAGGCAGATTTTTATTTTTAAAAGCCAGTTATTTCATGGATCCAGGATAATATGCATCCTGATAAAGTTCCCTTGGCCTTTGGAATTAATATATCCCCACATCATCACACACCTTCCACCACACCTAGAGATTGGCATGGTTTTACTTCAGTTAGCCTAATAGCTGGTTTGATTTGCATTGAAAGATGATCTTATGGAAAGTACCCCATGCCAATCTCTAGGTGCACCCTGTATTTTAAGGAAAAACATTTATTTATTTATGATACATTATTCATTCACAAAGAAAATTTGTGTCCTTAAATGTTGGAGTTTTCCTCATTTTTCTAATTAAGGCATTAAGATCAATATCCAAAAGTTGATTTTTTTTATTCCTCTTTTTAGGCAACTTTAGCATGGGTGTCCAAACTTATTCACACCACTGTATACTGGGTGAACTATCCCTTTGAGGCCCATTCACACCAAAAACAATAGCTTTAACAGTAATGATAAAGATCATTCTAAATATAAAATAAAAGCAGTCTAGACCACAAATATAACAATAATGGCACAGAGAAACTATATCATTGGATTCACTTTCAGAACATTTTTTTTTTCAGTTTATAAACGATAATAATCAGAATCCATGCCGCTTTAAAGAGCTCAAGCATTTCAAGCATCCTTTTTTAGTATTAGAAGTCTTTTAAATATTATTTACAGTCCCTTCCCACCCGACATACCAGAGAGATTTTGATGATTTTGAGATGTGTATTTGAAGTAAAGTTGTATTTTCTGGTTTGTTTTTAGACATTAATGAGTGTGAGGAAACCGAGGTCCTCCAGCAACAGCAGTTGCACACGTGCGAGTGGAAGTGTGTGAATCTGCCAGGTACTTACAGATGTATCTGTCCTCGTGGATACAGAGTGCACTCTAATGAAGCCCAGTGTGAAGGTCAGCACGCAAACATGCAAACCCTGCCAGCACAGACTGATGCATGCATATATACACAACTAAAATCTGTTTAGTTTTTCATTGAGAGATGAATTCTTGCAGTTAAATGTTCTTCCTTCTGATATTTGTCAGATGTCAATGAGTGTGAGCTGAAGAACGGCAGCTGTTCTCACCGCTGCATCAACCACAGAGGCGGCTTCAAATGTGCCTGTCCAGAAACACACCGAATATCCCCATACAACCGGAAAAACTGCCAGCCAATAGACACACACACACCAGCTCCTCACACTGAAGAGGACTGATCTCATTTATTTGTCTTGTTTTGCATACAGTATTGTATTTAATTATTCTGTGTATTTAATACAACATATTTTGTATTTCTTCACCCACGTGTATGAAGAAAATATATATTTGGAATAATAAATTTAATTTGTTTTTGAAATAAGTCTCACTGTATACTGTATTTATGGTATTTTTATTATCGCCTTCCCATTATTATATTATTATTGTTATACCCTTCCCATTAAGTCATTGAGTTGTAGGCCAGTAATAAGGGTTGGATCTACGGGGGTGGCAACTGCCACCCTAAGAAAAAGCTTTGCCACCCCAACTGCCACACCAGAATTATCACAGCAGTTTAAGAACTGCTTTCCAGCAGTGCAACTTCCATATGGTGAGATAAAAAAGACAGCAGGTTTGTATGGGTTTTCTAACCCATACATGCTTAAATAATTGCCTGAAAGGCTGAATGAGTCCTTCTCTGATCACTGCGATTGCCTCTATAATCCTGTACAGTGAAATAAATAAGAGGGATTCGGTATTTGAGACTGGGCGTGACGTCATGCGCGTTCACACTCAGCTGGCTATGTCTGGTAGGTTTGTGTATTCGTCATCATTTTCCGTATCAGCGAAGACAACTCAAGCGACAAAACTTTAGTCAACTTCGACAAAAGATAGATTCAAAGAGACCGGCTTGTAGTTCATTCCAAACCGCAATGCAAACTCCAAGTAAGACAAAGAAAATCAAACTTTTAAACTCTAGTGCCAGGCGTCGGAATAAGACAAGAATCAACATCGGGAAGCTTTCGACAAATGGAGAGAACTCCGGTCTGCTCTAGCCGGGCTCAAACAGGATCCTATGAATGTGTTTCCACAATAATACAATCATAAGTGGATGCAGTAAACACATAAAACAGTTCAATATGGAGATAGATGGAAACAAAACCCAAAGTTTTCAACTACAATTTAGAATTTTCAACTCAATTTAAATTTTTCAATGTTAAGTTGCCCCAACTCATTAAATAATATTTACAGATAAAATTGACTCAATTTAAATTGTTCAAAATTAACTCAATTTTAGAAAATTCTAATTCTATATTATTTATTGAGTATAGCCAACTTAATTTTGAACAATTATGTTATGATAAGTTATGATAGGCCTATATTTTTAATGAAAACACACACACAAAAAAAACCTTTTATTACCAAATATAATAAGACGGGTGACCCAAAAATACCCATATTGTAACAAATAAATAAAAGAATAAATATTTTACTTCACATGAGAAATCTTTAAAAGTAGGAATTTTCTTAAGAAACCTTTGTGAAAGTAGAAGTTTGCCATTAAAGGTGCTGTTTTCTCATTTCTGCTTATTTTATTTCAAATTGGAAATCAAATGATCAGATGATACACGGACCGTGTTTCCCCCTCTTAGACCTCATGCCACCCTGTAAATAATTTTCTAGATCTGCTCCTTTTTTATTTGGTTTGGTTACCATGTGATGTATGGCACCACTCTGTGGTCAGACTTAAGTACATTTTCAAAACACTTCCTGAAAAAAGCAATGTACTGTATATTAAAATGTTTCATTCTGTCCAATGGACAATTTGCATTTACTCTAAAAGAAGGAGGTCCTCAGCGCTGGCGTTTTGTGAAAATGTAAACCTCAGTTTAAAACTAAATCGTTATCTAGTTTTATTATCTGCAGGTTAACCCAGGCTGGAAAGGGTAAAAGGTCCTGGGATAGCAGACGGTTAAAAAAAAAAAGATAAGCAGGACTTTGAACCTACATTCTTGCCAGGGTCTTTGTGAGACATGCATTGGCTCTGTTTTTTCTCTTTCTGCTTCACTTTTTTAGAGTGGTCCCAGCCTGACCACATAGTTAAATAATCCTGCAAGGAATTCACACAGAAAAACAACCCTTGATCCCGTTTGTTGAATACAGTGAAGGGGGAGATTCACGGAGAGTTCTGCACAAGACCTTGAGGAATCATTGGCAGAATGCATCTCTCCTCAAATACACCCTTTAAACATGAAGACCTAAAGATGAAATTGGTTGCATTTGTAGGGTGCCTCGTGCTTGTTTTTGCAGATGAAAAAGAGACGATACATCCCAGAGAACCTGGTTGGACTGGTTCGCTTTTAGTGGTGCCCATGGACGGAAGTCACTGGACTGGAGTGAAAGCCGTAGCGGAGGAGATGGGTCGCAGGGGTCACAAAGTGATGGTGGTCATTCCTGAGGTCAGTATACTGCTAGGACCTGGTAAACACTACGCTACTAGAACGTTTCCGGTTCCATATGGACAGCAACAACTGGATGAACTCAAAGCTCGAAATGCTGAGGTGTTGGATAATAAGCAGCAGCCTCTGTTGGAGAAGATCAGCACCAGAATCAGTAACATTAGGAAATTTGTGGACTTCCAAAGGGCCACAGCTGAGAGTCTCCTCCTAAACCAGGAGCTTGTGGATTTCCTGGGGACGCAAAATTTTGATGCGGTACTCACCAGCCCAGCTGTGCCAACTGGTGCCATCCTGGCTTATAACCTCTCCTTGCCTGCTGTCTATATGTTGCGAGGCTTACCCTGCGGACTAGATTCGATGGCCACGGCCTGCCCAAACCCTCCCTCTTACATCCCACGGTTCTTTACACGCTATTCGGACCGTATGTCTTTTCGTCAACGTGTGCTGAACGTTATAGTGAGCATCTTGGAGCCTTTGCTCTGCAGGCTGATATATTGGTCTACTGAGGATGTAGCCTCCCGTTTCCTGCAGAGAGATGTAAGTGTGGTGGAGATCCTGCAAAGTGGAGCTCTATGGCTGCTACGGTATGATTTCAACCTGGAGTTTCCTAAACCCTTGATGCCAAACATGGTTCTGATCGGCGGGATTAACTGTGCCATGAAAAGGCCTTTGATTAAGGTGAGTGGAGGGGTGTGTTTGCAGAAATTTGAATGCTTATTTAAATAGGTGTCACAAAAATGTTTGCTTCAACTATTTACTACACCAGGCATAGAAGTGGATTAAAAGTTTAAAGCGATAGTTCACCCTAAAATGTATATTTCTATAATCACTATAAACTTATAGTGTTGCAAAACACAAAATAATATACATTTAAGAATGTTGGTAACCAAACTGTTATTGGGACAATTTGCTTCCATTTTATGGACAAGATGTCTGAGATATTTCTTGGTGAGTAAATGAAAGAAGTTTCAGTTTTGTGTGAAGTGTCCCTTTAAAGGGTTAGTTCACCCGAAAATGAAAATTAAGTCGTTAATTACTCATCCCCATGCTGTACCAACCCCGTTGGAACACAAATGAAGATATTTTTTTATAGGCTCCTAAGGGATTGAAACTTGACGGCCCAGAAAGTCATTGAACAAAATGTGACTACAGTGGCTCAAGTATATCAAGCGACGAGAATATTTTTTGTGCGGAAATAAAACAAAAATAACGACTTTATTTCTTCCTTCTGGGCCTGAGACGAGAGTTCAAGAGATTTCCACAACGCATGTGCGAGAATTGCACAGGAAGTAGTAGAAAAATAACGCAATTCTTGCGCATGCGTCATGGAAATCTCTTGAACTCTCGTCTCAGGCCCAGAAGGAAGAAAAGGAAAAGTCGAATAAAGTCATTAATTTGGTTTTATTTCCGAACAAAAAGTATTCTCGCTGCTTGATAAACTTAAAGTTGAGCCACTGTCGTCACTTGTAATATTTAAACATTTTCTTCAATTTTCTTTCTGGGCCGTCAAGTTTCAATCCTTTAGGAGCCTATAATGTAGCAGTGATCCACCTCTCAAATTTAATCAAAAATATCTTCATTTGTGTTCCCGAAGATGAACAAAGGTCTTACGGGGTTGGTACAGCATGGGGGTTAGTAATTAATGACTTAATTTTCATTTTTGGGTGAACTAACCCTTTAAGGGTTACTTTTAAGATTTAGGTTTTGAGGTTAACATTGAGGTGACGTTTGCACTTCATTAGGGCAAAAAGAGTATTCTTTGTCTTGAGAAGCTTATGATTGCTTGGAATGATAAACATGCTCTAAGAGATGAGTTTTCATAAAGGTAAAGCTTCAGAACGTCAGTCTTTTTAAAATATTTTGGGCTAGAAAGATGCACTTCAGAGCAATTGTGATGTCTGATCAGTATAGTCATATGTGCAGCGCTGGACCAGAATCCGACTGGGAAGAGCACTTGGACTGGGAAGCTGTTAGTATTACCAATGGATGGAAGTCACTGGACAGGAGTGAAAGCTGTGGCAGAAGAGATGGGATCCAGAGGTCACACAGTGATTGTGGTGATTCCAGTGATCAGTATGCGTTTGGGTCCAGGCGAACACTACATCACAAAGACTTTTCCAGTCCCTTATGAGCTTGAGTTGTTCGACGAGATATTGACCAAGCAAGTTTGTGAATTGACAACCTCAGGAAAACTGATGAGTCTGACTTCAACAGTGTTTGACCGACATACAGTTCGTTTCGTTCAGCGTCACGTTTCGGGGCGTGGAAATGTCCCCCACAACAACAGACCGGTATGCAACTAGTCAGTCAGCAGTCACCGGAGGCGTTCACAACGCTCCGCGTTATTAAATTCACCCACGAACTCGCGCTCGTGTCCATCTTATGTCCGCTTTGTCACACGGCCAGTTCAACCTCGTATAAATCAGGTTATGTGTGTAAATCACGTGCCTGCTCACTCTTAACAGACACACTGTCCCCGGCGCTACTCGTGGGTCACCGAATGTTCATAAAGCGCTCCCCGTTCACAGTAACCGGGTCGTTTCCAGCTGTAGCTGTCAGCGAGCCGCCGCACATTGAATACTCACATGAGTCAAGCTGCGATTGTAAGTTACGTCCCTGCCCCAGCGCGCTCGCGCCTACTAAATAAACGCCTCACCTCAGGCGCCGCGCACTCGCTACATTCCCTTTAGCACATCTAGTGGAGGCATAACGCAAACCCAGTCAAACGTTTGACTCTGCAGTATCTTATGCGCCTTATAATCCAGTGTGCGCCCTATATATCAATACTGAATCGGCCAGCTGCGATGTCAGCGTCTGTTGTTTCATGTTTGTCCACAAACGCGGCTGATATCCCCTTAGAAGTAACGTTACTTCACTTGATCTTCCATAATAGATAGGAGGGGACATACAACTACGTTTAGCTGATCTTGATAAACGCTCATTGTCACTCATATAAACACAACAGTTTTTAGGCTTGTTCGACTTCATGCAGCTCTGCGCAGACCGATCGGCGGCTGACTTGAAACAGTGCATGCCGGTTAGAAATTTTGTCCGACTTGATGCAGCGCTGACTCCACGTGACTGTGACATATGCCATCAAAGTACCGCGAGAGCGATACGAGAGTAGCCGGAGGACTCAGCCAGTGCAGCTTCTCAAGAGCCATAGACATATACACTAGACCTCACCTTGGCTACGGCAGTTCATTGGAACGAATGCGTCAATAGAGCCGCCATCTTGAAACAGGGGAGCCCCTCCACTTTAATGCATCAGAGTCAATGTAGTAGACACAGGTCAAACGGAAATAAAATCACCATAAATCATCATGAATGGGATTTTTCTTGTTTTTTTGGTTTGTTCCAACGGTCAGACATGTATTTATCATTGATTCCAAAAAGATTTTTTTTTTTTTTTAAACATTCTTCTTAGTTCAGATTTCATCCGTGAACATCATACGCTGCACAAAAGTCCGCCACCATCAATGAATTCGAAGTAAAGGCAGAGATAGCAGCCTTACCTAGCTACTTCCTATGACAAGACCCCTGTTCCAAGATGGCGGCGGTTTTGACGCATGCTTAGAACCCCAAGGTGACGTCTAGTGTATATTCTATGCTCAAGAGCGGCTGCACGAGGTCTGATGATGTCACAGCTGTTCCACGATTCGCCGGATTCACCGCATGACAACGATCACGTGCGTTTCGTGTTTATTCTCACAGGTTTAGTTCCACTAAAGCTCACAAATCAGTATTTTATAACAGTAAACACTCTTTTCATGTAGTCGCAATGTTATATTGTGTCATGTTTATCATGTTTATCAAAATAAAACTGATTAAAAAACGTTGATTCCACGTCATTGATTATAGGTTTATTTTGAACTTTATTCTAGTTCAAACAGATGCTGTATGAAGCAGTAAAGTATTGAATGAAAATGTGTCTGAAATATCTGTTTATTTGGCAAATGTTGCATTTATTTCACTTCAGCTGTGGTATAAGCATGCAAACACCACGTGAGCCGTCACTACGGGGACCAGAAATTGTTCGACTTCACGTCTCCGTTTGCAGCTCCTCCCCGCCTGCACGCGGCTGTTCTCGCCGATCGGTTGCATCCAGCCGCAGGCGATGTCGAACACACCTTTTTTCTTCCGCAATCACACGTGGCCAAATTGATTAATTCAGGTGTGTCTGATTATTGTTGCCGTGACTATTGAGGTCAAGCACACCTGAATTAATCAATTTAGCCAATAATGGCAGACAGGAAACAAAGAGCTGGCTGAAGTTCAGGAAGTAGCTGTGCATAAAGCCCGTTAAGTGTACCATATGCATCAGATGTTTAGCCAACGTTCCGTGGGCTTGACGTCTGAGGCTGAGACTAAGAAACATGCGCTTAGCAGTAATTGTATGTCTAGTGATCAGTATAGTCATATGTGCAGCGCTGGACCAGAATCCGACTGGGAAGAGCAGTTGGACTGGGAAGCTGTTAGTGGTGCCAATGGATGGAAGTCACTGGACGGGAGTGAAGGCAGTGGCAGAAGAGATGGGACCCAGAGGTCACACAGTGATTGTGGTGATTCCAGAGATCAGTATGCGTTTGGGTCCAGGCGAACACTACATCACAAAGACTTTTCCAGTCCCTTATGGGCTTGAGTTGTTCGACGAGATGTTGACCGAGCAAGTTTGTGAATTGACAGGGAAATCCCTACTGGAGATTGTGACTTCACAAGTGAGAAATATATTAAAGGTGCTTAACTTAATGGCCTCTACAAGCGAAAGTCTGTTCAAGAGCCAGGAGCTTATAGAGTTTCTGAGAGCACAAAACTTTGATGCTGTTTTAACCGATCCTGCCTTACCAATGGGGCCCATATTGGCATATAATCTTTCCGTACCTGCGGTGTACATGTTTAGGGGATTTCCATCCAATGCTGCGGCCACCGCCTGTCCAGACCCCCCTTCATATATCCCACGTTTCCTTACACTACACTCAGACCGCATGTCTTTTAGTCAGCGTGTGCTGAACGTTCTTGTGAGCATGCTGGAACCACTAGCATGTAAGTTTATTTTTTGGCCCTTTGAGGAAGTGGCATCCAACTTCCTGCAGAGAGATGTGAGCCTGGTTGAGATCCTGAGCACTGCAGCAGTTTGGTTAATGCGGTATGATTTCACCCTGGAGTTCCCCAAACCCCTGATGCCCAACATGCATCTCATAGGAGGAATTAACTGTGAAATAAGAAACCCAATGACGAAGGTGAGCATCACCTTTATACTCATCACATGATAATCAGAGTTTCAAAGCACAAACTAGAGTAGCGTATATCAACAATCAAGTCTGTATTTGTTTCATGACTAGATGTAATAGGTGATGAACAGGTCTGCTTTTCTGGACATGATAAATGGGGGCATGATTTTGGGGGCATGTACACCATTCTTTACAACCAGTATAATTTTCCTGAAGTTTATATGGGTTGAGGTAAGGAGTAGGGATAAAAGTTGGATTTTTTTTTTCCAAAACCTGATGAACCAACAAATGCTTACTCTGCAAAATCAAGACTTTAATTATTGTGATACTTATTGGACTAAACTTGACCTCCACAGCCTGCCTGGACTCTTCATTATCTTAAGCCCTGATTCTTCACACTAAACTGTATAGGCTATATGTATTTTCATCAATTTTTGCTAAACATTCTGAAAATATTGAAGCCTTTGCTCTGCTGACTGATATATTAGTCACAGGGTATCTAGGTTTTTATAGTCTTAAATTCAGATTGATCAAATTTAATGCAAAATATATATCTTAAATGGAATAACAAAACGAATAACTTCCATTTTAAGAAGTCTAAAATTTAGGCGTGAGAAAACAGGAATCACCATATAGCCTAATTGATTATTAAACTTCAAAATGCAATGATGAAATTGATGTGAGCACTGCGTGTTCTCGCTGTTTCAGAGCAAATCACAATCAATACTGCGTATTTATACCAAGCCATTGCTTATTATCTGCTGTTGATGAGTCATGTTTTTATTTTGTAATAAGTTGTAGATCAGTGTTTCTCAACTCCAGTCCAGAGGTGACCCACCTTCCAGAATATTTTAGATGTCTTGCTAATTAAACACCTGATTCAACTCATCATCCTGTTAAATAGGGAGACATCTAAAACATTCTGTAAGGTGAATGAATCCCAAGGACTGGAGTTTAAAAAAAAAAACAGAGTTGAAGATAGTTGTAAGAGTGCATGTTTTATCCCCCTCATATTTGAATGAACTGCTGGAAAAATTAGAATCCTAGTGTATTTCGGCCTTGTTTATTAGGCTATGTTTACAAGGAAACGATCTGAAGAGAAAACGCAAAAGTGGCGTTACGATATTACTTTTTATTCTGTGTTTAGACGAGCCTAATGGGTGGGAAAGCTGTGTGTATAGGTGACGCAAAAGTGTGTGAAATTCGATGTAGTGCACCCCAGGTGGCTAGGTTGGCAATGTGAAACACTGCCACTCAACAACACTGTCTAGCAGACTTTTGCGTTTTTACCCAAAAGATGGGAACCCATTTAGATGGGAACGCAACGGTGGAGCATTTTTAAGATTTCCACTCTGGAGGGTGGTTTCACTTTTTTGCGTTTTTAAACCCCCCAAAAAACTCTGTCACCGTGTAAACGAAAGGCACATCTGATTAAATATAGTTTTACGTTATCACCCACAAGCGTTCTCGTGTGTAAACAGGGCCTTAAAATTCCTCCCTTTTTTGTTTTTGTTTTTTGTTGCTGATACTCTGTGTTCAACTCAGAGGTTAAAACTGAGGTGATTTCGCAGTCTTCCTCGGGAGGAGCAAAGAGTATCCTTTGGTTTGAGAGGCAACTGTTTGTTTATGATAACAAATTAGGACCTATAACCCGCTAAACTGCTACTAAGTAAACATGGGCCATGGCTTTTGGACAGTCAAAAGATCAACAACACTGCCAGTTCTTTTGACACTGACAAATTATTAACCAGTCATGACTACTTTAGCAAACTACAAGCTAAGCCTTCACATTTTTGTTGTAACAAGATACGGGAGATCTTTGTTTATTTTAGTACCATAAATGTGTTTAATAGTTGAAAGAAGAAAAAAAAGGTTCCTCCCAGATCATTTTATCCAGCCACTAGCAAGCTGGAAAGCTATCTACAGTATCTGATAATAAATTGTGAAAGCAGTCAGTTTATATATTGCACATGGGAAGAGAAACTGGCACATAGAGGCTCTCTATGTTTATCAGGAGAAGAATTTTTGTTTAGAAACATGCGCTTAGCAGTAATTTTATGTCTAGTGATCAGTATAGTCATATGTGCAGCGCTGGACCAGAATCCGACTGGGAAGCTGTTAGTATTACCAATGGATGGAAGTCACTGGACAGGAGTGAAAGCTGTGACAGAAGAGATGGGACCCAGAGGTCACACAGTGATTGTGGTGATTCCAGAGATCAGTATGCGTTTGGGTCCAGCCAAACACTACATCACAAAGACATTTCCAATCCCTAAATGAGCTTGAGTTGTTCGACAAGATATTGACCAAGCAAGTTTGTGAATTGACAACCTCAGGGAAACTGATGAGTCTGACTTTAAAGGGTGGAAATATGTTAAAGATCTTTAACTTAATGGCCTGTCTAGTCTGTTCAAGAGCCAGGAGCTTATAGAGTTTCTGAGAGCACAAAACTTTGATGCTGTTTTAACCGATCCTGCCTTACCAATGGGGCCCATATTGGCATATAATCTTTCCGTACCTGCGGTGTACATGTTAAGGGGGTTGCCATGTGGCCTTGATGTTGCGGCCACAGCCTGTCCAGACCCTCTTTCATATGTCACACGTTTCAAAACACTATACTCAGACCGCATGTCTTTTGGTCAGCATGTGCTGAACGTTCTTGTGAGCATGCTGGAACCACTAGCATGTAAGTTTATTTACTGGCCCTTTGAGGAAGTGGCATCCAACTTCCTGCAGAGAGATGTGAGCCTGGTTGAGATCCTGAGCACTGGAGCAGTTTGGTTAATGCGGTATGATTTCACCCTGGAGTTCCCCAAACCCCTGATGCCCAACATGCATCTCATGAGATCATAGGAGGAATTAACTGTGAAATGAAGAACCCACTGACGAAGGTGAGCATAAGCTATGCTTGTCACATACTTAGAGATCTGAGGCACTTAACCGCAAGTATACTAGATGTCTACAATCAAATCTGTATATGTTACAGTATATGACCTAGAAACCGTCTAAATGAGGTGATGAAAAGTTAGACTTTTCAAAAAGGCCAGATGAATGTATTAGAACGTAGAATATTCATGTAAAGCATGTTTAAAGTCACTACAGTATCTGCAGGTGAACCCAGACTGGAAAGGGTGACAACATTTTCTGGGATCTCAGCCAGTCAATAGAAACAAAAGACGAGCAGGACTCTGAACCTATAAGAGATCAGTATGTGTTTAGGTCCAGGCAAACACATTTCCAGTCTCGTATGAGCTGAAGTTGTTCAACCTGACGTTGACTAAACGTATTCATCATTTGACAACCCCAGGGCAATTTCCCACTGGAGATCCCTAAATGATTCTGATTGACCCACTGAAAAAGGTGAGGCTAGTGTAACTCTAAATCATATGATGAGTTGGTAAACTTTTCCTGATAAATGTTTTGAAATGTAGAATATTCACAACATTTGAGATTTGCATTGTGAGAAAATATTAATGTAAAACTAACACATTTTCAAAGACACTATTATTTGTGGGCCAACCCAGACTGGAAAGGGTGACTAGGATCTCAGCCAATCAAAAGAAGGCAAAAGACGAGGGGACTTTGTACTTAAATCATTCATTGCTAAGGTCTTAGATTTTCTCTTGTTACTTGTTGGTTGTTACTTGTTTTTGAGAATAGTCACTAAAAATCTTCAAAACAGAGAAGTCCACCGAGAGATGTGTTAAACTATAAAATATTAGGTATGTACTTCACACAACAATGCATGAACAGGTAAAGCAGCATGACTGCAAAGACTGAGCCGTGTGTGTTGTAAACATTGTTTCAATGACAAAGCATATTTTAATAGTCGGCTAAATTGCCCTTCAGTAGGTGATAAGTCGAGACCATGTATGTAATGATTTGCAGCAGTTACTATATTTTTTTCTCTGGCCTTCCAGGGGCAAATGCATATGCCCATGCATATCATAGAGTTGCATGATCATCAGGCACTCTTTTGGTAAAATAAGGGTTTTTTGCTTGTACCCTTCACGAATACTCAGTTTATTTAGTTTTATCACTCTATGCAGTACAACACAGCACACCAATTGGTATTGTTGTTGAGACCATTTTTCCTCAAACAGCATTTTCTTGTTTCATAAAATAACTGAAGGTGTCACTGTTCTCTTTGTCATATTTGCAGTCCTGAAGTCCTAAAGAGATAAACATCAGTTCAGTTGTTAGTGTTGTATTCCCACAGCGTAGCTGGGTGGGGATGATTACGGTTGGCATATGGTAATCAGCAATGGTTTTTGTAGGAGTTTGCATGTCATACTGGGTCAGTGGACTGGGTTACTTTTAGGGTTGCCACCTTCAGTGAGGCAAAATAAGGGACACCCATACGCGAGATAAATAAATAATTAAATTAATTTTAAAAAATGTGTCAAGGGTATGGAACTGGTTATTTCAACATGACAACTTGACAGCTCAACAATAAACCAAGAGAAAACATGTGAGCTTGCAACAGAAAACATTTTATATTATTATTTTACTTATTTACATCATGTTTTTGACAATTCTGCATGGATGGGATATTTTTATTGTTTTTATTTACTCACATTGATTTTGAATTTCATTTTGAAATTGTTATGTAATTGTTTGTCTATTTTTTATTTTTAATGTAGCACTTTTAAAACTTTCTTTTAATTGCCATAAAGTGTGTATTACAGATATGACCATAATTTAGTATGCATATATAATTAATATTTAATAATACCAATTATAATGTATTTATTAATCTGTTTAATAACATTAACAAATATAACAGTTGTCTACCAAGCTTTGACAAATGTATGGATAATGTTATATATTTATTTTTCAAAGAAAAAAACAACAACAAAAAACAATAGGCCTATACCGCATGTTCTCTAGACTCGTCACCATGGAAAAAAAGACACTAAAATGCATTCATGCGCAAATTAAATACTCTACCTTTTCTTGTGAAATTGATTTTATTATAATTACTATTAGTAGCCTATTATCTACTATAAAATCCTTATTTGTTTATTCAACTATGTGTGGGTCTATGTAAAATTATGTCCGTTGATATGACTATTTGTATTATAAGAAAATCTATTTATGTATTTATTTATGTATTCAGACATATTATTAATTCTATAGTAGCCTATTAAAGGATGACATTCTCTAGGTTTTTAATTTCTCCACAACATGCACATTTTTATTATTAAATATGTATTAAATATATATCTCTCTTATTTCTAATGATAACTTATTTAGGCTACTCATTGCCACTGACACTTTCCAGCCAAGTATTTGTTTCTCTCGTCGGTACTTTTGCACACACTTCGTTTCACAGGTGGACGCATCAAGACCCGCCCTCTTCTGACTCTGATTGGCCCTGAACCTGATGGTATATTAAACAAACCAATCAAACCAACAATGACAGCGAGTATTACCCAATCAAGGGTAGAATAGGACGAGTCTTCACAGAATGCGGGTGGCATGATTTGCATGGGATCATGCGTTCGGAAATACGGGACAAACCGCGTCCCGTATTGATTCAAAACGGGACGCGCTGTTTACTTCACAAATACGGGACGATTCCGTATTTTAAGGGACGGGTGGCAACCCTAGTTACTTTGTTAGTTGGTAGAATCAGATTATGGTTAGTCTCCAAAATATTTCATCAGGACATGAGGTATGAGGTCAAAAAAGAAGCTTTTTTTTGACCGATGGATCCCCCAAATCAGGGAGCTGCTAATATAATAATAAAAGTAGTAGTACTACTTGTAGTAGTAGTTTTTAAGGATTTATTTATTCATCTGAACTCGGTAACACTTTAGAATACTGTTCCGTCATTAATGAATAACACCGGAACAAATAAGCAACACACAATTAACATTCTAGTACAATTAATTAACAAGAAACTCTGATTAGAACCTATATATAGTAGTTTGTAGTCGTCCGGGAGGTACTTACTTAATTGTTTAATCAGTTTATTTTTAGTAAATAGTAGTTACTAGAGTGTTAATATTGCCTTACTAATTTGTTCCTGTATAGTTATTCATTAATGACATTCTACAGTAAAGTGTCACCAATAACTTTACTGTTGCTACTGCTTTTTGAAAAAAAAAAAACATTATCAATGGTTTATATAAAATCATAGAACTATTCTGCGTTATACCTCACTCCCACCACTGTAAAAAAAAATTCATGATTAGTAATCACAACATTTTTTTTCTTTTGTCAAATCAACTTAAGTAGTTTATTTAGTTCATATAACATATAATTTTGAGTTTCTGATGATTAAATTATTCCCCTTCATTGTAGTAACTCACTTTTACCATTTCAATGAACTTAAAATTTTAAGACAACCAGGTTACTTACTTTTTTAAGTTAAACCAACAATACTTTTTTTTTACCGTGCCTTTCTTGAAGAAAACATATAGTTTGTTTCTCTTTGTTAGCAAAATACCCTATGTGGATATGAATGTTATGGAATGCTATTTAAAAGGCATTTGGGGGTGTATTGTGTATTGTTAGTCACGCTATCTCTTGAACACGAGGAGATTGATAGCAAAGGAGTGGCAAGCTTCTCACGCAAGCCGGGTTTGAGTGGAAGGGGGAGGTGCTGGTGGGGGTTACATTGCTTCCTCCTTATGCTCTTGAGTTTATTCAGCTGCTTGTAACTTAGTCTTTGAGTTGTTTTTACTTTACTTAGGAACGGTTTCAGATGCTAAATGCTAAATCCATAGTTAACCCCGCCAAAAAGCTGTATGTATTTTGATGTGTAAGTACAAGTTCTGCTTTTAATTTTTTATTTAAGTGTTTAAAGACCTCCCCATTACATAACTGTAATGAATAATGTTGGCATTTGGTTACGGGATATAAAATTCGAAGATTTGTAAACACACCAGTTGATTTGTTTTTAACAGTGCTGTCTCTTCTTGTAAGAATTTGTTTTGTGTAGATGCATGTTATTCCTTTCAGGAAATTTTTTTTTTTTTTTGCGCAACAGTATGGCATCCTGACTTGATTAACCTCTGCAACTAAAAACACAGATACATGTAAATCCCTCTTGTTCTTCCTTTCACTCTCTTGTTTCTCAGTCACACACAAGAGAGTCTAAACACAGCCCCTTTTCCTGGAGGAGGAGTTCTCTCCTTTCTTTCAGTGCTTGTGTCTGTGCTAGGCAGACCCAGTTATGCTGAAGGAGGGCTGGCTGTGGAGGCTGGGTTCAGGACTGCTGCTGCTCTGGCTGGGTGCCTGGCTGAGGCCTGCGGAGGGTGGCCGGGTGCTGGTCATGCCTGTTGAAGGCAGCCACTGGCTCAGCATGAAGGTGTTGGCGACCGAACTGGCCCAGAGAGGCCATGACATCCTCTTGCTGGTGCCTGAGACCAACATCTTGATCCAGAGTTCAAAGCTCTTCCGCACCGAAACCTTCCCGGTGGGCCTCTCCAAAGAGGATCTGTCCACCAGTTTGAAAGGATTTCAGCAGGGGGTGTTCAAGCGTAGTCCTGCGATGATGGACATCATTGTCCAACTGCAGCGGCTGATGAACTTCACAAATTCGCAGGTGCAAGGATGTGAGTCGCTGCTTTACAACAAACCTCTAATGCAGAAGCTGAGGGAGGAGAACTTTGAGGCGGTGCTCACCGATCCCTTCTTGCCATGTGGACCTATTATTGCTACCACTCTAGGTGTCCCCGCTGTCTACTTCCTGCGTCTACTACCTTGCGGCCTTGACTTTTTGGCTTTACAGTGTCCTTCTCCTCCATCCTACGTACCTCGGTTTCAGTCTGGCATTACTGACAAAATGACGTTTGTAGAGCGCATTCAGAATTTCGTCATGAGTGGCGTGGAGCTGGTGCTGTGTCGAATTATGTACGCCAGTTTTGATGAACTTGCTGCAAGATACCTGGATGCAGATGTGACGTACCTGGATATCATCTCCCGCGGAGCTATATGGTTGTTTCGATATGATTTTACATTTGAGTTCCCCAGACCTCTCATGCCAAATATGGTCCTCATCGGGGGCATCAACTGTCACAAGAGTGCCTTACTCTCCGCTGTAAGTCACCAGAGGTGCCCTTTTTTGAATTTGGTCATGCGGGATAAGTCAAGTAAAGTCACCTTTATTTATATAGTGCAATCTTTACAGATTGTTTCAAAGCAGCTTTACAGTAATAATGAATGTATTCATAAATAATCAACAGAGTTTGTTTTTGTTGCACAGCAGATCTAGAATAAAATAGCACCATAGTCTACTTTGATGGTTCAGTTTTGTTTGTTAAAAAGTTATTAATTTTGTTATTAATTTAGCTCAGTTCAGTTTTCATAATGGTGTCAATGCAGGCAGATGAATAATATTGTTGAATAATAAGTGTCCCCAACTAAGCAAGCCAAAAGCCAAAGGCGCCAATGGCAAGGAACCAAAACTCCATCAGTTGACTGAATGGAGAGGAAAAAACAAACCTTGGGAGAAACCAGGCTCGGTCGGGAGGCCAGTTCTCCTCTGGCCAATGAATGAACAGTGTTTGATAATGATTCATGCAGCATTAATGGTCAGATTGAATCAGATCATTCAGAATATTTATCCAGGATGAGAAAATATACTAAAAAGAAATCAATTTTACAATGAGGTCTTTGCCTTTTTATAAATGCATTTTTAAAGGAGTAGTTCACTTTTAAAAAAAGCTCACCCCCATGTCATCCAACATGTCCATGTCTTTCTTTCTTCAGTCGAAAAGAAATTAAGGTTTTTGATGAAAACATTGCAGAATTTTGTCAATATAATAGACTTCACTGGGCACCAAACGGTTCAAGGTCCAAATGAGAGTTTCAGTGAAGCTTCAAATGGCTTTAAATGAATGAAAGTCTTATCTAGGGAAATGATTGATCATTTAAAAAATAGATTAAAAAAAGTGTAAGTTTTATAAGCTCAAATGCTCGCCTTGCTCTGTTCTGTGATGAGCGTTCGTGACTCTCCTGTTCAAACTCGTTCATCAAAATTAACAAATCTCTTTTCGAGTCATGACTCGAAGGGTCCTAGATAAGACCCTTATTCATCGTCTGGTGTCGTTTAAAGCCCTTTGAAGCTGCACTGAAACTCACATTTGGACCTTGAACCGTTTGGTTCCCAATGAAGTCCATTATATGGAGAAAATCCTGGAATGTTTTCGTCAAAAACCTTCATTTCTTTTCGACTGAAGAAAGAAAGACGTGGACATCTTGCCTGACATGGGGGTGAGTAAATTATAAGCAAGAGTTTTTTTTTAAAGTGAACTACTCCTTTAAGAGAATTTCTTAAACATGTTCAGTACTGAGTCATGTTCATAGCCTAGTTCTATGATATGATTTTCTAAGGAGGAAAGAAGTTATGTCACTGTTTTTAAATTTGGGTTGGGGCCATGTTTGGTTCTGGGAATATGGATTCCATTTTTGAGTTTTGACATTGTTGCTTTGCACTAACATGCATTATGTTTTCCCAGATACAAACATAACCCATGGTAATATGACTCCCCTCTCCAGGGTTTGTTATCCTATGGCAACATGATGTGTTCAGTGTATTCTTTGGCACGCAACCTCCCCCTCTGCTTCCTCGTTGTTATTTTACTTGTCAGCCTCCATTCCTTCCAAGGCAGAGGTTCTTTTTACGCACAAAATAATCAGTTCTGTGCTCAAAAAACTCTAGAAACTATGTGATTGTGCAAAGCATATATTCTTAAATCCCTTGCAGTATATTCTTCATATGAGATCAAATCAGATTTAAATACTATCGTAATTACTTTCGTGTTTTTTTTCCTCTGTCATGTAGAAAAACAACTATAAATTGTGTCAGTTTGTGTGGATGACTTAAAGTGGAATATGTGTGCACATATAGCTTATAAAAACACCAGAAAGATGAACATAGATATGGTTTGGTCATGATGTAAATAGCTATATGTAGTGTCATGAGTTAATTTTGCCTTATTCTCTGGCTTGTTGTCCGTCTTTTACAGGAGGTGGAGGCATTTGTCAATGGTTCTGGAGAGCATGGTATTGTGGTGTTCACTCTGGGTTCTCTGGTCTCTTCCATGCCAAAAGAAAAAGCTGCCATCTTCTTCGAGGCTTTCAGTAAGATTCCACAGAGGGTAAGAAAGAGTTTAAGATGGAGCGGCATACATTTAAAAAAAAAAAAAACTACATACTTGGAGAAATGGGTCTTAGCAAAGCAAAGTGTCTTTTAGTAGTTATTCTGTTGCAACTTAAGTGTTCAAACAAGGTGTAAAAGAATCCTTTCAACTACACAAATGCACTAACGCCAGGCTTTTAGAGCTGGTGCGTGACCTGAGCCTATTCTTTTCAGCATCCCAGATGTTCAGTCATCTCTCAGCTTAGGATTGTAGGATTTATGAGTCCACTTACATAATTGTTTCCCCTGCGTGTTAAAGTGTACAACTAAGTGGAGGCTGCATGCAGAGCTTTAGCTATAGCTAGAGAGAAAGTCCAACATCTTGTTCTCATTAAAGTTATCATGCGTGCTTAAAGGGGGGTTTGGCACTATCCAGGATGGGGCATTTCTGGAGTGGATAGAATTTCTTATTAGACCAAGCACGAATCTGCAAGAGTCAGCAATATCTTCCGTCACTTTTTAAAGACGTTTACCTGGTTATGAATCATTGAATCAGTTAACCTGAGTAACTTGTTCAGTAACTCTTTAAGTGCATTGATATTTTTGAGAGTATTTGGATATTTTCTGTTTGTCAAACTTCGAAAATGTGATAATCTAGACTTTTTCTTTACTCTTGGTGAGCTCAATTGTTTCCAGATGCATTTGGCTTGATATAAATATATTGATTTTATAGCATTATATAACATAAGTGTCCACATACTTACAGTTAAATGATTACAGACAAAGGGTACTTCTAGGAATTAAAAATCAAGTCTGGTGACCTGGTTCAACTGTGAATTGGATTGAGATTATTTTACTATTGTATAACTTGTATAACGTGTCCAAAAGCTAGTTTCAGGAGGACTGTCATTGGAGTCATTGTACTATAAGTTGCTTTGGAAAAAAATATGCTGAATGTCACTTTTTCTAGGTTCTGTGGCGGTATACGGGTGAGATCCCTGATAATGTCCCTGAAAACGTTAAGATGATGAAGTGGCTTCCACAGAATGACTTACTTGGTGAGTTTCTCTGGTTTTGTTGCTGTTGTTGTTTTATGCCAAGCTTACATTTTTTGCACATCCAGGTATAGTTTCATTTTTCTTTTAGCTGCGCAATGACTACCTTAACCCATTCAGACCCTGTGTCCATTACAAGGGACATCACATGTCAGCCCCCTTTTTTTAACTTCTGGAGCATTTCACCTAGTTTAAAGCCTGCAGTCCATGAGATTGGACGTTTGTCATCCAATCAAATGCCAGTAAAGCTCTGCATGTAGTAATTATATATATAAAAAAAACTACATTGAAGAGAAGCATGGCAGCACCTCACTCCAAACACAGAAGCAAGCAACATTTTCTAAGGTGTATTTACATTTTGTATATATTTTTTCCAGTATTTCATAGTTTGTATGTAAAAAAGAAAGATTGAACTTATTAATTAAAGTTAAAAATAGACTGTAGAATTGCACGTTTTAAATCAGGATTTTTTTAAATATGTCTGTCCATTAGAATGGACAGTAGGTTTGAAAGCCTGTTACTGAAGTCACATTTTCAGTCATGCTGATTGAAATTTCTTTTATAAAAAAATATATATATCACAGTACCGATACATTTTTGAAACATTTTTATGTGCAGAATATACAGTTCTGAAGTGCTTGAACATATAGCTGATGAAAATATCTCAGATGTTGACTTTATTAGAGTAATGAGGAAGATGGAGATGTAAGAAAAATATCAATTTTTAAAACTTTATAAAGTTTTATATTAAATCTATATTACTATATTAACTATATTAAATCTAAAGCACAACTTAAATATGAATATTTTAAATATTTTATATTAATATATATTTATTATGGATAGATGCACTTTTATGATGGATAGATGCACTTTTATCATGGATAGATAAACTTTTATGATGGATAGATGCACTTGTATCATGGATAGATGCACTTTTATGGGAAGGGCCAGGACATTCTTTAATATAACTCTGATTGTTTTGTCTGAGAGAAGAATGTCATATACACCAACGATGGTTAGAGGACGGGTGATTAAATCATGGGCTAATATAAATTTTTGGGTGAACTATGCCTTTAAAGGTATAGTTCAACCACACATTATATTTGTCATCACTTTCTCCCCCTCATGTTGTTCCAAACCTGTATGAGTTTCATACCATTTTTATGTTGGACACCATCCCGCCTGCAATCTATTGAATGGGGTTTCGGGTAGTATATTTGATACACATTTTAACTAAAGTTCCAGTCGTGATAAAAACTATTTTACTGCACTCAGCAGGCCCTCCGGGGTCCTTAGAACCAAGCGCCATCCCATAAATACACCGTCCACAAACCCACTATTTTTATAATGGCATAAATGCTACGAGCGATGTCCATATCTCAGCTCTGGAAGGGTCTAGAGACTCCATTTTGTACTCAGGTCTAAGTCCCAATGCCCTCTACCAGAATCCAGAGTTTCAAGAAGATCTGAGCAACTCAAAATTTCGACCCAAAAAAAACGACAGTGGTACCCCTGTCGTTTTTTTTTTTTTTTGGTGCAAAAAAGTAAGTTTCTCACATCTTGAAACACTGGATTCTGATAGAGGGTCATGGGACTTAGACCTGGGTGCAAAAATGGAGGCTGTAGACCCTTCCAGAGCTGAGATATCGAAATTCAAAATTTCGACCCAAAAAAAAAACGACAGTGTTACCCCTTTCGTTTTTTTTTTCTGGCGAAAAATGAAGTTTCTCCAATCTTCTCAAAACTCTGGATTCTGATAGAGGGCCATGAGACTTTGACCTGAGTGCAAAAATGGAGGCTCTAGACCCTTCCAGAGCTGAGATATCGAAATTCAAAATTTCGACCCGAAAAAAAAACGACAGTGTTACCCCTTTCGTTTTTTTTCATTTTTGGGCGAAAAATGAAGTTTCTCCAATCTTCTCAAAACTCTGGATTATGATAGAGGGCTGTGAGACTTTGACCTGAGTGCAAAAATGGAGGCTCTAGACCCTTCCAGAGCTGAGATATCGAAATTCAAAATTTCGACCCGAAAAAAAAAACGACAGTGTTACCCCTTTCGTTTTTTTTCATTTTTGGGCAAAAAATTAAGTTTCTCCAATCTTCTCAAAACTCTGGATTCTGATAGAGGGCGCGAGACTTTGACCTGAGTGCAAAAATGGAGGCTCTAGACCCTTCCAGAGCTGAGATATCGAAATTCAAAATTTCGACCCGAAAAAAAAACGACAGTGTTACCCCTTTCGTTTTTTTTTCTTTTTCGGGCGAAAAATTAAGTTTCTCCAATCTTCTCAAAACTCTGGATTATGATAGAGGGCCACGAGACTTTGACCTGAGTGCAAAAATGGAGGCTCTAGACCCTTCCAGAGCTGAGATATCGAAATTCAAAATTTCGACCCGAAAAAAAAAACGACAGTGTTACCCCTTTCGTTTTTTTTCATTTTGGGCGAAAAATGAAGTTTCTCCAATCTTCTCAAAACTCTGGATTCTGATAGAGGGGCGCGAGACTTTGACCTGAGTGCAAAAATGGAGGCTCTAGACCCTTCCAGAGCTGAGATATCGAAATTCAAAATTTCGACCCGAAAAAAAAAACGACAGTGTTACCCCTTTCGTTTTTTTTCATTTTTGGGCGAAAAATTAAGTTTCTCCAATCTTCTCAAAACTCTGGATTATGATAGAGGGCTGTGAGACTTTGACCTGAGTGCAAAAATGGAGGCTCTAGACCCTTCCAGAGCTGAGATATCGAAATTCAAAATTTCGACCCGAAAAAAAAAACGACAGTGTTACCCCTTTCGTTTTTTTTTCATTTTTGGGCGAAAAATTAAGTTTCTCCAATCTTCTCAAAACTCTGGATTCTGATAGAGGGGCGCGAGACTTTGACCTGAGTGCAAAAATGGAGGCTCTAGACCCTTCCAGAGCTGAGATATCGAAATTCAAAATTTCGACCCGAAAAAAAACGACAGTGTTACCCCTTTCGTTTTTTTTCATTTTCGGGCGAAAAATTAAGTTTCTCCAATCTTCTCAAAACTCTGGATTCTGATAGAGGGCATGAGACTTTGACCTGAGTGCAAAAATGGAGGCTCTAGACCCTTCCAGAGCTGAGATATCGAAATTCAAAATTTCGACCCGAAAAAAAAACGACAGTGTTACCCCTTTCGTTTTTTTTCATTTTTGGGCGAAAAATTAAGTTTCTCCAATCTTCTCAAAACTCTGGATTATGATAGAGGGCTGTGAGACTTTGACCTGAGTGCAAAAATGGAGGCTCTAGACCCTTCCAGAGCTGAGATATCGAAATTCAAAATTTCGACCCGAAAAAAAAAACGACAGTGTTACCCCTTTCGTTTTTTTTCATTTTTGGGCGAAAAATTAAGTTTCTCCAATCTTCTCAAAACTCTGGATTCTGATAGAGGGCGCGAGACTTTGACCTGAGTGCAAAAATGGAGGCTCTAGACCCTTCCAGAGCTGAGATATCGAAATTCAAAATTTCGACCCGAAAAAAAAAACGACAGTGTTACCCCTTTCGTTTTTTTTCATTTTTGGGCGAAAAATTAAGTTTCTCCAATCTTCTCAAAACTCTGGATTATGATAGAGGGCTGTGAGACTTTGACCTGAGTGCAAAAATGGAGGCTCTAGACCCTTCCAGAGCTGAGATATCGAAATTCAAAATTTCGACCCGAAAAAAAAACGACAGTGTTACCCCTTTCGTTTTTTTTCATTTTTGGGCGAAAAATTAAGTTTCTCCAATCTTCTCAAAACTCTGGATTCTGATAGAGGGCGCGAGACTTTGACCTGAGTGCAAAAATGGAGGCTCTAGACCCTTCCAGAGCTGAGATATCGAAATTCAAAATTTCGACCCGAAAAAAAAACGACAGTGTTACCCCTTTCGTTTTTTTTCATTTTCGGGCGAAAAAATAAGTTTCTCCAATCTTCTCAAAACTCTGGATTATGATAGAGGGCACGAGACTTTGACCTGAGTGCAAAAATGGAGGCTCTAGACCCTTCCAGAGCTGAGATATCGAAATTCAAAATTTCGACCCGAAAAAAAAAACGACAGTGTTACCCCTTTCGTTTTTTTTCATTTTTGGGCGAAAAATTAAGTTTCTCCAATCTTCTCAAAACTCTGGATTATGATAGAGGGCTGTGAGACTTTGACCTGAGTGCAAAAATGGAGGCTCTAGACCCTTCCAGAGCTGAGATATCGAAATTCAAAATTTCGACCCGAAAAAAAAAACGACAGTGTTACCCCTTTCGTTTTTTTTCATTTTTGGGCGAAAAATTAAGTTTCTCCAATCTTCTCAAAACTCTGGATTATGATAGAGGGGCGCGAGACTTTGACCTGAGTGCAAAAATGGAGGCTCTAGACCCTTCCAGAGCTGAGATATCGAAATTCAAAATTTCGACCCGAAAAAAAAAACGACAGTGTTACCCCTTTCGTTTTTTTTCATTTTTGGGCGAAAAATTAAGTTTCTCCAATCTTCTCAAAACTCTGGATTCTGATAGAGGGGCGCGAGACTTTGACCTGAGTGCAAAAATGGAGGCTCTAGACCCTTCCAGAGCTGAGATATCGAAATTCAAAATTTCGACCCGAAAAAAAACGACAGTGTTACCCCTTTCGTTTTTTTTTCATTTTCGGGCGAAAAATTAAGTTTCTCCAATCTTCTCAAAACTCTGGATTCTGATAGAGGGGCATGAGACTTTGACCTGAGTGCAAAAATGGAGGCTCTAGACCCTTCCAGAGCTGAGATATCGAAATTCAAAATTTCGACCCGAAAAAAAAAACGACAGTGTTACCCCTTTCGTTTTTTTTCATTTTTGGGCGAAAAATTAAGTTTCTCCAATCTTCTCAAAACTCTGGATTCTGATAGAGGGGCGCGAGACTTTGACCTGAGTGCAAAAATGGAGGCTCTAGACCCTTCCAGAGCTGAGATATCGAAATTCAAAATTTCGACCCGAAAAAAAAACGACAGTGTTACCCCTTTCGTTTTTTTTCATTTTTGGGCGAAAAA